GGGCGTCCTGTTATCAGGTCCACTGGCAACCGAAGTTCTCGACCAAACATCAGCTTTGTACTTTTGTACAATTGTACTTTATTACCATCGCATCAGACTGTGGATGAAGTAGCATTGTCCTGGTCTTTCATATGGTAAACAACTTGCAGCATTCATGGAACACAGCTGGTTCAAAATTACAGCCTTGATCTGAATACAGTTTGTATGGCATACCAAACCTGAAAAAGAAATCACTAATAGCTGAAGCTACAGTTGTAGCTTCCTGATTTGGTATTGTATATGCCTCAGGCCACTTGGTGAAATAATCCATCACCACATAAATGTACTTGTTTCCAGCACGAGTTTGGGACAATGGACCAGCAATGTCAACGGCTACTCTTTCAATTTGTGCACCAACTTGATATAACTTCATTGGAGCACGTCCCTTATGCTTGAGTCCCCTTTTAGCACAACATATACTGCATGTCTTGCACCATTCTTCCACATCTTGCCTCATACCTATCCAGTAAAATCTCTGGCGTAGGTGACTCAATGTCTTCTTAACTCCAAGATTGACGCAGTGCAACTTCCCGTAACTTTCTCGCTATAACTGATTGTCAGGTCGTCACTTTTCCATCTGCAGTTTCCCATCTCCGGACAAGAATACCATCTACAAGCTTCAACTGGTCCCATTGTACCCAATAGTTTTTGTCACAAGGCTTAAGCTAGATACCTTCTCCCAATCAGGGCACAAAACACTTGCTGGTAGAAAATCAATTATTGGCTTCAAATCTTGGTCTTTCTCTTGTTATGTTTTAATATCTATACTTGGTTCCACTTCACCATCATCAACTCCTTCAGTCACTTTGACTTCAGCTTGACGGCACCTGCTTAGTTCAACCTCTCTTTTGCAGCAATGTCTGCAGTCATTTTTGCAGGGTCTTCGACTCAGTCCATTGGCATTTCCATGAGATTTAACAGATGCAGCAACACTTACCAGAATTTGGCCTTTGCTGTTCCCAAGCGTCATTTTATTAAAGTTAACTACACACTTCCTCGGTAGTAAATAGTCCAACCCTAATATGCATGGGTCTTCAATGTCAGCCAAGTATATTTTGTGTCTGTTCTTTATGCCCATGAGCTCAATAGTTACCCACACTGGTCCCCACAACCTTGCATAATGTCCTGTCACACCACAGAGCTTATGTATGGCTTCTGGTTCTTCTTTGTGATCTAGCATCTTGATACTCACATGGGTTTGCTGAAACGCAGAATCCATGACAAAGTTGCACTTTTGGCCATCCAGCTTTCCTGTCACGAAGACACTATGTGTGCTTGCCATTTGACATTTAGCTCTTGGGACTTTCACAGCAGTCGGCGTCCTTCAACACCAACCACTACTGGTTTCCCGAGGCTGTCTTATTGGTGGTATTCTTCTTACATTGGCTCTTCATATGTCCTTGCTCTCCACAGTTCCAACAACTTTCCTGTGTTGAAGTTGCCAGCATTGAGTTCTTTTGTGCCCAGGTTTGTTACAGTGTTAGCAAAGTTCCTCAAACTTCTCTGAAAGCTGCCCTTTTCTGGCCTTGAATCCTGATGACTGTACCAACCTTGGTACCTCTGCACTGGACTTAATGTAGGATTAGAATTCAAGAGCATCCTGCATAGTAGAGGGGTGCACTTGCTTCACTTGTATATTCAGTTGTGGACTGTCCAAGGTATCTACAAATGGATACCTCAGCAACAGCTTGAGGACATTGCGTGGTGCAGTTGGGTAGGCCTTGTGTGCCATACTTTCCAAGTTCTGTGCCAGCTCTTGCAGGCTCTCCCTTTAGCATGGCCTATAGTCCTAAACCTAGCCCTGTAGACTTCAGACTGATTTTGAGTGCTCTATAGTTGTGCCTGTCATCTGCTTACAACTGTCCAAGTATTTCCAGTAGTTGTCCCTTCAGGCTTGTTGCCAGGTACACTGCTTTCTGCTCCTCTGTCCATCCATTCATTTCTGCCAGGAGCACAACTTGTGCTCTATATGCTTCCCATGGTGCCTTCCCATCGAATTCCTGTGGTTTTCTACATTCTAGATCACCCCTATTGCTGATACTCATTTCTGGAATGTGACTTCTGGCAGAACTGAAGATGTGTGCATTAGGGTTTAGCTGCAGGGTCTGGAAGGAGCTTCCTGTTATCTGGGGCTGATTATATTCTCTCTGTGTAAAAGACAGTAAATCATCCTTTAATTTATTTAATTCACTTTGATATTTACTAATCTTTTCCATTTGTGTATGCTGACATTCTCTCAACTGTTGGAGATTTTCTTCCTATTTCTTTTCTTGTTCCAGTTGCCACTGGTTCTGGTTTTCTTGCCACTGCTGTAGTCTCTCTTTTTGTTTATTTTCTTTCATCTCCAACCACTGCTGTAGTCTCTTTTCATGTTTATTTTCTCGTTCTTCTTGTGTCTTTTACTGTTCTTATATTGCTGCCATAAAATCTGCTAAGTCGTAATTTGATTTGCCACTTCTCGTTTCCAACTTTTTTCTTTTCTGTCCCACTCTCTGACACCAATTTGTTACCTATCTGGTTGTTTGTTAATTTCCGATAGAAATTCTTTCCGAGAAACTTCAGCGATACAAGTCCTTTTTTGATTAAACCAGTTTATTCTTTCTCGATACAAACTTTTAGTACACAGTAATTCCACAGTCAGTACTTTCTCGACACTTTAAACTTAACAACTTTTATAATACACGCTATAAATTACAGCGGTTCACAATCTCGATAACTTTGCTCTCTACGAGTGCAAAACACACACACTAACTCGAAACAGAATCGTTAATTACCCGAAACTCACCATAACTACTGTTCGCTTAACCCGCGCAGGATTTTCTCTGCTAGGCTTATATACCAACAAAGAGGCATCTCCAACATTCGTGGAGTTCCCCGATTATTCGAGAAACTCACCACGCATGCTCCTAGCGTCACGTGACTTCCGCTGTGGTAACATTATGTTTCATTTGTGAATTGTTTGAATATTTTCAAAACTCATTGACAAGAATTTTAGGAAACTAACTAGCTCATGCGCTGTGGTTTTGTTCTTGGAATCGAACTGCCCTCTGTAGCAAGTCTCCGGGCTTTTGATGATAACAATCGGGTTTAGATACCCATGGTGCGCACAGCACTAATGGCCTATTGTATAGCTTTGCGCTTAGCAACAAACAAAGCATTTGAATTTAATATTATATTTGCTATTTAGAATTTTAGTATCATTGAAATTAAATTATAACACAAAATATATTTTCTATTATTATTATCACGTACATAAGCAAAATGTTTATTTCATTACAACCCGTATATATATATTATCTTTAACTAATTATTAATGCTCCCAAGAGGGCAAAACACATTATAGTACAGGTTTAACCTTCATGAAAGTGGCGGGCTGAAATAGCAGTACCGAGTGGCAAATATTTGTATAAAACTACAATAAATCCTTATAGATAGTAAACCGCAATTTATGTCCTACGTTCATAACAAATGTTCAAAAATTATCACCTATTAGTCGTTGATTTATGATTCGAGTAGTTTGTGGGAATAGTGATACTAGTTAGTTAGGCTTACTTCTGAGTTCTGTTCTCGAATCGGTCTGCGGTGCGACTAATCGTTAAGCTGCTCAGAAGTGTGGATTTGTCTACTCTATGTGCTTGAACATTTTCAAAATATAACTTGAAAGAACGCTGCATAAAACGTGTTAGCTTGCTGGTCAAGGTCTGACTACTATTTTAATTTTTATTACGTAAAGATTGCACAATATAACTACCACTGTAACACCATGGTGTTGCAACCTAGATATATGCGGTTAGTTAGAAGTAGAACGTAGATCAATGTTAGCGACGAAATCAGATTAGGAATAGTGGGTCAGTAGTTGAATAAGTTATAACTGCATTTCAAGTTAAATGTTTTCAAGAGAGTACCGATAACTATACTATGTTCTGTTAATGGTATAAAATATGGTTTTATTTTTAACTCAATCCTCATACAGTTAGTGCGATCTGAACTATAGAAACTCAAAAGGCCGAAATTTAAGTTTCAAAAGTGTATTACTATTAGTACTACAGGTATAAATCAACGCCAGGAAGTTTTAATCATGAATGTTTGTTATGCAACACCAGCAAAACATCCTACTCCTACATAAACCTTGCAGTTTTTAATATCATTAGCTTCAATCATAGTATGAAAACTGCAATGTCTTCCATATATTTTTTAAACAAAAAATTTATTCATTATTTAAATAGTAAATATTTTCATGTTGGAAATGTTCTTCAACAGCAAGCACGTTTGGCAAACTCTTATGGTGCTCCAAAGTTGAGCCCTCAAGAGGTAAGTGTAATATTTTATCCATAATCCGGTTACATATGACATAGAAATAACATATAACATTATTAGATAGTTTATAATGAGTGAAATTATTTTTCTAAATATGAAAATAAAGCAATATCATTGAATATAGTTTATTTCGCATTTAGAATGTATGTTAATTTTATTTCATCTCAATACTGTGTTGTATGTTTTAAGTTAAAAAATATTACTTTAGTTATTATTTAAACTTAATGAGTGAAATTGCAAAGGAAAAACCTTTAAAAACTTTTTTTTTTCAATGTCACTATTAGTTTTAGGCTGATCAAATGATATTTAAAAAAATTAATTGTGAAATGGTAATCATGGAAATATAACACACACACATTTTAGGATGCACTGCTTAATTGGTTTTATAGCCGATATATTGAGTAACCAAAATTGTCCAATATTATGTTAAGTAATTGGTGAACTATTTAAAAAAAAAAAATCATTAATTTTCAATCTTTCCATGTTTCAAATTTTCATGGAGAATTTACAGACCTAAATGATTTTTGTACATGTTTGGGGTTAATGTTTCACATGTCCATCTCATGTAAATTTCAGAAAAACTTCTGTGCTTTCTAAATGTAGCTACTTGTGTTTTAGGTCTGTTTGATTATCTTTCCTTATAAACATATATAAAGATACAAAGGAAATATTTCAATGCGAAGTTTACTGTATACAGTTGCATAGAGCCACAATTGGTTGTAGAATTCAACAATTAGTGAATAGTATCTTAATATGTAATCAAGTTTCCTTGACAGCCACTAACATTGTAAGATGGAGCAGCCCAAAAGCTAGATCCAGAAGACCTGATGTTCTTAGTCTGTTGCTGTCTTCCCTCTTGGACCTTCAGATCTAACATATGATATTTAAAAAAAAATTGCCAAATGGAATATCAATAATACTAAGTTTCCACTTGTAACAGTAAACTCATGGAATCAAGTATACCTTTAGAATTGAATAGGTTTACAAACTGTATAGGGTTTATATTAATGTGATTTCATTATACTTGTGCTATAAATACAGGTAGTAAAAAACATAAAGACTGGCTTTAATCTTGTCTGTATTCTAAATTTTGAAAATTGAAGAGTTTTTTCCAAGATTATATGTCTTTAACTTAAGAAATGTCAGATAGTTGAAAGTTTTACAATATCATAATTCCTTTTCCATCTTTTTCTATAAAATTCAGTTAGGAGCAAAGTCTTTAAAATCCACATTTTGCATCCCTGGCGTTTCCCAATGTTTCAGTTGCTAAGCATGATACATAAGACATATGTTTTATACACATTTTGGGGTCTTTAAAGTGATATAATTTTCTGAAAAAAAAAAAGGAAAATTGAGAAGTTATCATAGATGATTCATGATATAACTATAAGTATTCCTGTTATTTTCCACATGCACTTATTTACTGATGAAAATACATATAAAAAGATCTAGAATTTTTTAATATAATACATGGAAGTCACGTAAACATAATATTATAATTTCATTAGGACTTGGTATGGTTGAACAGTCTCTTAAGCCATTTAAGCAATGTGTATTTGCTGATGGCAGGGCAAATAGGATTTTAGGTTGTATCTACAGAAATATTGAATACAAGTATAGAGAGGTAATAATGTCTTTGGTTTGGCCACATTCGGAATATTCCATTCAGTCTTTAGGTTCCTTACCTTAGAAAGGACATTGAGTATTTGGAAAGGGTTCAGTGGAGAACTACTAGGATGATACCTGGGATAGAAAGGTTGTTATGTGAAGATAGATTAAGATATCTGAAATTGTTTATCTTGATAAAAGAAGAGTTAGAGGGGATATGATTGAGGTGTTTAAGGGAATTGATAGTGTTAGTGCATCATCTTTTTTCACATTTAACTGCTAGAATGATAAAACTAGGGGACACAAACGTAACTTTTGACAGAGTAGGGGTCATCTTAAGCTAGACATCTTTATTTTCTAACAGGGTGGTTGGCCTCTGGAATAGGTTGCATTCAGATGTGATAGATGCAGTTAAATTAAGGAAATTTAAGAGAAGGCTAAAATAAATATTTGAATGATAATGGCTAGCTTTGAGTGTTATGTTTTAGAGTTTAGTGGATAGGGTGGCCTAGATGGACCAACTCAACTTATGCTTCTGTTTGTCTAAGTAAGCACTGTTAAAAATGTTAGATGATAGGCACTTGTTCATGACTGAAAACTATCACAAATGTCACAGCTCAGAATAATTGTTTTTATATTTAAAATGTGGACTTCAACCATACACATAATTCTGTAAATAGACTTATACATTATATACATAAAAGACAGTATGTGAAACTTTTGCATGAAAACAAAAAGTATTGAAAAACCTTTGTTTGATATTACTTTAGTAACACATAAAATAGTGCTTTCATTGATTTTTGGCAAACATCTAAAATGCATGAGAGAGAGAACTGCTTGCTAGTAAATATTTCAACAAATTTGTTAATTATAACAAAGTTATACGAGTTCAGAAAAGTAAAAAAGAAGTTTCTCAAGTTTCTTTTCTGTAAAAAATTACAATATGTTAAGTTTTAATCTATATAGCATATACAGGTTTCTTTTGAAATAATGAAGTCTGTTAACATACAGTAATGGTCAATTTATATATACATATAATGTTAATAACCAACTTTTAGACTACTTTAAACGTGAGTGTAATTCTTTTCTTAGCTTTTAAATAAACCTTAAGTATAAATGATAATGGAAAATTATTGAATGTAGTTCTGTTAATAGAAGATACATTTTTCATGAAGAATACAGTTTAATGTACTAAATTCTTTACTACTATCTTCATTTTCTGTTACCTCTAAAACTGATATAGCTTTAAATAAATAAAGAAGAAAGCAACCAGTAAGATTTTGGTAAAATTCATGTTTCAAATTAGAAGTAAAGACCAGCACTTGTAAAATGGTACTTGAGACTTAAGAAATAAAGTAAATCTTAATATAGAATGTTTTATCGTAACTTATCTTTCATCATATAGAAAATATTTTCTCTATTTTTATAGAAAATGATAAGTCATCCAGTGTCTCAAAAGATCAATTAACAGATGGCTATAACAAATAAGCAAATCATTTTTATTCAACTTTTTTTAACAGCTTGAATTATTTAGTGGAATTATATGATGCAAGTGCCTTATGAAGAAAGGCAAGGAAATTACATGTGTTTTCAGAATATATTTTGGTTAGTAAAATCTATTATATTGAAGAGAATAGTGAATTACACTTCCACATTTCATTTAAAATGGGATGTGGGTGTACTTATTACACTACTATAGTACAACCTTGGTTGTTTAGCCTAAAGCCATACAATTGAGTAAAGTTTTTAATTTGAACAAATTGGATGAAATTTCATAAGTATGTATGTATAATTTCTTAACTGTTGAATTTCACGATAAACCAAAATAAGTTTTATGAAAATATAATAAACAATGTACCTTTCTTGTCACTTATTTTTATAACTATTCTACTTGAAATTTATTTAGATTAATATCTTTACATCTGATGTTCTTAAGTTTCTAACATATATCAAGTTTTATCCTTTTTATTTTTATTATCATACTTTTATTATTGAGATTGTTTTGCATTATTAGTTTGATATACATATTGTTAGAAGCCAAACTTTTAATATCTTAATTTAGATGGTTTCCAGAAGGAGCTGCTAATCATGGTGATGCAATATTTAGAAAGTTCATTATGTTGTAATAATTGTGAATGTTTGTGAAATAAGAATATAATGTAAATATCAGTAATCAGTGATGGATAGTTAGTTATTGAAGTAATTAATGAGCAGTTGATGAAAATTAAATGAGAAATATGCTCAGTGTCAGAAAGATATTTTGTGTTAGAAATAAGAGTTAATGCATCTGTTTTGTAATTCAGTTATTCAACAAGTTAGTGTGTTTATTGATCAATTAACCTTTCAAGGAAGTATAAGTAGGACTATTAGTCTCAGAATTTCTGTTCAAACATTATTTATGAAATTAGACCTATAAGTAAACATGGCTATAGCAAATGTTTATTGAAGCAATGAATTTATTCATTATTGTTACTTGGACTAGAATTGTAATAATTTTACAAAATAATCAAAAAGAACCACTTCAATAATACAACACATCATAACAGTATTTAGGAGTATAAACAAGATCTAAGCTGGCAGAACCTCATGAGGTATTATTAGGTTTAGTCCAAAAATATCATTAACAGTGAGGGTACACAACTGAAGGTAAACAATGCATTCTAATCTTTATAAGTAAGAGTCTAAGAAAATATATTTAAATAGCTATAGTTGGTTTTAGTTTCACTGTAAGTCAGTGACTTTTTCTGATCTGAAGTTAATATTAATTATTGTAATGTGATTTAAAACAGCTTTATATGGGATGTACCATAATGTTTTTTAGGAAATAAATCTCTATCTACATTAACATATAGAAAGCATTTTATGTCAAATATTTTTTAAACCATAAATTTATTCATGGATTTCGTATTACAAAATTAATAAAAACAAGTATGATTTTTTTTGTTGTTGTTTATTCAGCCGTCTAATAAACATTTAGTTCAAAATTCAAGCTTGAATAATCAATAAATCAAACTTTTTGTTAGTTCTTCAAGAAATCTTTCTTGTAAATCTTGTTTTCTAGGTAACTATGTCTCTATCAGCAAATGAAGGTGTGGTTAATAAAAGTTCTGGATCAGTTCGAGGATTTGACTACAACCAGTTGCCATCAAATAATCCTATTGAGGATCGATTAGCCGTTGGCCACTGCCAGCTAACAACGGGAATGCTGTTTGGTATATTTGATGGACATGGAGGTAATGAGTGTGCAAATTTAATTAGTCATAGGCTTCTAGATTATGTTGCTTTATCAATATTGCCTGAAAATTTATTAAAGGAATACTTAGACTATCTTCATTCTGGAATAGAACCTGTTTTAGTAGAAAAGATAAACGACCCTGTTGATCTCACTGATTTTCAAAGGCAGTTACACAGAGAAAGCTTAAGGAACTATGCACTTCAACTAGTACAACGAGGGAGAAGAACTCCTGAATATTTCATGGATCAAGCATTAACTCAAGCTTTTACTCAATTAGATGAAGATATGTCTCAAGAAATTCAGCAGCAAGTGAACAATAAAAACTTTGATCTTTTGCCATTAGCAGTCACTGGCTCTTGTGCTTGTCTTGCTCACATTGATGGTACTCATATTCATATTGCTTCTTCTGGTGACTGTAAGGCAGTGCTTGGCATGCTCAGTGATGACAAAAAATGGTCTTTTAAAGCTTTGTCTAAAGAACACAATGCAGACAATGTTGATGAATTAAGAAGAATAATAGATGAACATCCAAAACCAGAAAGTAATTTTGTGATAAAAAATGAAAGGCTTTTAGGTCAGTTAGCTCCTCTTCGCGCTTTTGGAGATTATTCATATAAATGGAAGGCCAGTCTACTAAAGCAACTTCTGGTACCTCAGTTTGGGCCAGCTGTCATCCCACCAAACTATTACTCTCCTCCTTACCTAACAGCCCGACCAGAAGTCATTCACCATCGTCTTACACCAAGAGACAAGTTTCTTGTCATTGCCTCAGATGGTCTGTGGGAACAATTGATGCCACATAAAGTGGTTAAGTTTGTTGGTCAACATATGAGTGGGCGTCAGACCTTAGATGTCTTGCGGCTCCCAAGAAGAAACATGAAGCTAAAGGAAATCGATAGTATTCTTCACCAAAGGAAGGAAGGATTAGCAAAAAAACCAGTTGATGCTAATGCAGCAACTCATTTGATACGAATTGCTTTAGGCAGAACAGAGTATGGAGTTGAACATAGTAAATTAGCCAGTATGCTGTCCTTACCGGATGAACTAGTTCGGACTTTTCGTGATGACATTACAATAATAGTGATATATTTTGATTCTGATTTCTTGCGCCACTCACCAGCTGATTAAGTACATCATGTTTCAGTTTTATAATGCTTTGAATCAGAGATGAATATGCAATTATGTAAAATTACTTTGAAAATAAGTTTACATATATATAAAACACAAATTATACTTTGTATAATTAAGAAGCTATAGTAACAAATTCTTTTTTAATCTAATTAATAGAATATCTTTTGAGAAATAGTGCATGATGGTCCTAACAAACCATCAATTAGAACTAAAGATAAAATTATTATGTATTATTTTTTCCAGTACAGTCTAGTATATGCAGTATCACGTTGATTATTCAATTCATGATATTAAGAAGCTCTATAGCTAGTCTAAAACACTTACAAGCTAATTACTACAAGTCTACATATAATACATCTTAGGCATACTTAACTTGGCAGTTAATCTTTAAAAAAAGTAATAGAATATTATGCTTTTAGTGTTTACTCTTAAAATACAAGAATGTTGTTTACTTGTGCACACATAAAGATAATTAAAGTGTTTGATTACATAAATGATCTTTCTAATATATACATGAAATTCATGTGTCACTGTTAATTTTACAGTATGAGATACTACAAAATATAACTAGTTTTGAAATTTCTCAAAGATATTTAAAAGTAGTTACTGAAAACTCAGGGCCTAGATTCTGTCATCATTTGTGAAGACAAAATTGTAAGAGTATCAAAGTTGAATGTTAAATTCTGTTTTTTAATAGTTTTGTTTTGAGATTACTTACTGCTTATAATTAATATCTTATTACAAGTTACAGCTTTTACAGTAAGGATGAATATTTTTAATATATTAGAAATATTCTTCCTTATTGTAAAAGCTGTAAATTTTAATAAAATATATATTTTTTATAACGAGTGCATGTTACTCTTCTGTTAGCAAACTTTATCAGACAGTAATTAAATGAAATATTATGGTGCCATCCTTCATGAATTACATCAAAGTGAATGTTACTTTAGCATGAACTGAAATATGGAACTGCTGTAAATATGCATCTCCATATTTTACAGTTAGATTATTTTTTGTAACTCTACCATCACGTTCATTCATACTACTCAAGTTTGACTTGATGTTTTAATAAAAGCAATATATTATTAGTAACCAATTACACTGAATACCTTTTTTGTTGCAAAATGTTATAATTTATCTAAACTAATTAATGTTTGTTAACATGTTCACTGCTGCCAGTAGTGTTAATAATTCTTACCTTAGTGCCAACTACACTTTCTTTTTTTTTACCTAACCCAGATGTCTAATATTAAATGTGTAACTATACTATGTTTAATTAACTCATTGAAGCTACGTGTAATATGTATGTCACAAGGTCCATAACTAAAAGTCGGTTGTGACCCACGGTGGGGCACGTGGCAGCGAACATGTTAAATACCCTGTAAGTATATATAGCAGACACAAACCTTTTAAGAATTACTAGCATATTTCAATTTGAATTCCTAGAATTTCACAAAAAACATAAGCAATTACTACACTTTGGAAATATTATATGATATGCATTTGAAATGACATATATTTTGAAAATTGTGTTTACAGATTAGTTAATTTGAGTATAAAGATAAGACCACTGTAGGTCACTAGGTAACCAGGTTTTTTTATAATGTTACTTGGTTAATAGGCATCTGTTTACCATTCGTCACCCAAGAGAGTAATGCTCATTCATGGGAATTTCAATAAGGTTCATGTTTGTTTTGTAAATGTAGCTTAACTCTTATTCTAATTAGTAATATTCTTGTCACTATTGAAGATGAAATATTCTAGCCATGTTCATAAGAACCAACTCATTAATTGTATTTGACCTAAATGTATTGGTACGTTTTACAATTAAAATATAGATTTGCTTAGAATGTTAAACAGAGAATTTGTTCTGATTCCCAACCCTTTTATAACACAACACTGGTTTGTTCAAACAAGAAATGTTACTTTTTACACACATTTGATTTGTTACACTTTAAGAGGGTTGCATAAAAAACTGTGATATTTTTAACCTGATTTCTATTGTTGGCTCTTATCATTTTCAAAATCATCAGTTTATCTGAAGCCCAAAGCAGATGACTAAACAGTATCTCTACTGTTAGGTTTGTTTTTTGTTGCTTATTCTATATGCCAAATATTTAACTGATGGAAAGTTTACGTGATTATAACAAGTGTTGGCTAGAATTTGAAAATAGCTGGAAGCTGTAAAAGTCTTCTTAAGTGTATGTTGCAGTAGTATCAAACAGTTTCCTTTATGTAAAAAAATGTATCTAATATCTCAGGACAACATATGTCAATTTTTCATGTAATTTTACCAATTTGTTCATGTAGCATAGGAGTACCATGAGCAGTAACTAATTTGCATTTCTAATAAACTCTCAGATAGCCTATCACAGTGGCTCAGTGGTAAGTCTGATGGCTTATAACACTAAAAATCAGGTTTCAATACTTGTGGTTGGCACAGTGCAGATATCTCATTGCGTAGCTTTGTGATTAATAAACAAACAAACCTATCACAACATTTGGTAATGTGGTAATTGATATTTCTGAACACTTGCCAGAAAAACTTTATTTTTAAGACCACATATGTGAAGTGAATGTGGCAGATTTTGTAAACAAGATAAGACTGTGTTAGGTGGTAAGGTATGTTTACAAAGAAAAATTACTTCTGTAAGTCAGCTTAACTACATCTTTTGCATGTATGTAATATATATATTATGTTACGTGTGTCAAGGAACTGAAATGCATATTCCTAAAACTTCTAAGTATTCAGTTTCTGTATAATTTCACAGTTATTGTAGAATATTTAAAAATATTAAATTGAAGACTTTTCTCCTGTTTCATTAACTCTTGAAAAATAGCTTCAAGTGTTATTTTAAACTCAGGTGTGTTACTTTGTTGTTTCATTTAAAGTATAAATCTACATTTAGAAAGTTTTTGTTAACTAGAAGTTGATTTATTATAAAAAGTACATGTGTGTGTGTGTGTGTGTATATATATATATATATATATATATATATTGTGTCTTTGCTGGGGGGACTACAGATCAGTCCTGATGTGATAAAAAATAGCAGTAATAAAATAAAGAATTTATTAACATACTGTTGTTAAATAATAAATATTCACAAAATTAACAATATTCAAAATTTATTCATAGTAATTTGTAGTATTACATAATGTCTTTGCACATAAAATGCAAAAAAAGATATTTTGTGTAGATTTGTATTTGCATGTAAAGAGGTTGGATGCATTGTATTAAAGTGATTTTGAAGCCTCACTACATCCAGTCATGTAATACTCTGCCTTATAGCTTTATATCTTGACAATAGACTTACAGCTTTGTTTCCATTTGAAAATGCTCTGTAATAAGGCTGTCATATTGAAAGCACACCACTACTTCCTGCTGACTTTCCATAGTCCATCCTGTGTACATGAACGTTGGTTTCATAGTGCTCATTTCAACAGTCTGACTACACAGAACTCCATAGGTGACTTGATCAATATGTCTTCATATGGAATAGAAAGTATACCAGTTTCATTACCACATTAAACAGATATATCATGAAAACGACTTGTGTACACATGACTTGTCATTTTTCAAAATGAAGATCTTTCTTGATTGTGTTTCTGTTGTTGCCTGGGGCTTTTACAACTGACTTTTATGTTCATGAATTCTCACCTGGTACAAGACACTGCAGTTTGCTTACCACAGCTGGAATGCATTATGTTATAAGGCTCTTTCTAAATGGTGCTTGTCCCAAGTTGATCCAAATTGCTTTGTTCTCCAGTGGCATTAACACGTTGACCACCAGCTACGAGTATACTTGTAGTGCTGGGTGTACCAGATTCTGCCACTATGACTGTACTCATAGAAAGGATTACGCTGATGTATAGTAAACAGAAAATGCTGGTATCCTAGATAATGCAACAAATAAACTGCTAGCAGTTTGGGGAACATAAATCTATGTAATAATCATGATCAAATTTGTATTGTATCATTATTTGTGCTGTTGAAATTTTCTAAAGTGTGCAAGCATGATATCACCACAAAGCTCACTTCAACACAACTAAAGCTAAAGAGAAGAGATGGTTACAATGCAAAAATAAATTATTATAACTAAAATAGGCTTATTCTACATAATCCAGGGCATTGTTTGATCAGGTCTGAATCAATAAACATTTTCAAATTTTATGATTTTATTCTTTCAATATTTCATGAACTAACAAGTTCTCACATTATAACTAAATGACAAAAAATAATGTACAGTAAATGAGTAGAAATGTCTGTTTTTCTTCCTGTTTATTTGTCCATTATTGAAGTACATGGTAGTCCTTGAAGCATTTATCTATACAGAGGGCTGGCTTTTCAGGGCAGACATCACAAATGTAGTGTGTTTCTTGTCTCCTACCAGCCTTTGTGCAGACACAATATGATTTGGTTGGCTTCTCTTTCTTTTCCATGGGTGGCAAACATGCGAGGTAGTGAAACGATTGAACTGTTGACAATGAAATTGGGGGTGCACATTGCCCCTGGTCTTGAAGATCCTCCATAATATTACCTAGCAGATGTACTGTTACATGTTCATGACAATTCAACAGTTTCATTTATTACCCTCTATTTTCATTGTACAGGGTGTGAGCATTCAGAATAAATATCTCAATGATGGGAAGGCAATCTTCTTGTCCCATCAGATCGTCGTACATAGAGCTGAGTGTTACAACAACATCTGGTCAGATCTGTCTATCCCAGACATGGCATTGTTGTAATCACGGACTATATTGGGTGTCTTCAAAATTTTATTATTCTGATTCACAACATCAACTATCTCCACTCTCTGCATGTTGCTTATTGTGAGCACTTCCCATTTACAAACTACCACTAAATTTGACTGCTTCCATTCTGTTCACCTATATCTGGACCACATCCTTTGGATATACTTTACAGTCAAACTGGAATGTTTCACATATGTAGGTTGATCGCTCAGTCAGTTTTTCACCAGACACATGGAATTGTAATAATTATCTATATACATGACATGAGCTTTGTCCAGGTAATTAGCCAACAGATCAAGTACAACAGCCACAGCCTGTCCCAAGCCAGCATCACATCAAGGCCAGTTCCAGAGTATGTGCAAATTTTCATCACCAGATCTTGATATTTTCACAGTTCATAGAGCTTGATTCCATATTTGTGGCATTTATTTTTGATATACTGTCAAAACAAGAACTGGCCACAGCAAAGTACCATGGACTTGTTGATGCACAAATCCTTTTTTGGAGAGTAAATATGGATAATTTCATTATTGAAATAATCCAGGATAGGTCATACCTATGATCATCGTGAGATTGGGAATCGTCTACAAAATGCCAAATATGTAAGAGCATTTGGAAGTGGTTGCAACTCATAACACCACTAAAAAATGATGTCTTGTACAGAATGTCAGTACTCCAGTAGTACTTCATGGTATGTAGGTTGTTTGGACCCATGTGAATCAACAAAGCAAGAAACTTTTTCATTTCTGTTGCATCTGTTACCTTCCAGTATCTTAAACATGATTCTCTTTGCAGTGGTCACTATTTATTAATTTCAGCTGTTGCATATCAATTTGTTTCTGTGACTATGATATCTAGTAATTGCAAAGTCAGGAATAAGTCAAAATAATCACCAGGTGAAGCATTTTATAACTGAATTCTAAGACCAGAGTTTTCATTGAAAGCAAAATCAGGTGGACCTTGCAGAACCTTTGACCAGTTATACAATGGAATACCAAGGTTCACACCTCCAACTCCTCCTCAATCCTGAACAGGAGCTGCTCTTCTATCACGAACTGGAGTAGCAGAACCATGTCCACCAACTTTTGTCTTACCTCCACGACCATGTGGTCTTCTGGTGCAGATCCTGCAAATTGTAGCTCTTCCATGTGTTGTCAGTACTGCTTTGTCACCATTTGAAAAATAAGAGTCTGGTGAAACCATTGGGTTGCCACATCACTACACTGGTTATCACAGCTATCATCAGTCTCCATTTCAATCTGAACATCACTGTCATCTGAGGGCATTTTTTATAGATAGGTAAAATTTGAATATAAAAGTATATGCACATGCATACTTGGCTTGGCAAATGGGTGTGATATATACTAAAAGAGTTGGCAGTCAGTGTGTTAAGTACAAGGGATATCTCCATCTTGGAAATCCTAAATCCCTGATCTTAGTATATTAATAATTTGCATCAGAAAGTCCATTACATACCTATTTCAAATGCAATAAATTTTTAGTGGCATCACACTACCTATGAATGCCATATAATTTCAAAATATTGTTCTTATACATGCGATTTACACCATGACTTTGAATATGCAAATTAGCCAGTCACATGACAACCATAGCTGATGTAAATTGTTTTAATGTAATGTATTCAATCTTGTAGTACTTAAATACATAAGAAAATAAAAGGGTTGTTTTCTTGATAAGAGTGCATATCTGTCCATAAAGGTATTAGCTGTAGTTGCGTAGTAATGTATATGTAAATTTTGTTCACATAATCAATTATTGTTCCATTAACTTTGAATTCTCATAGATTCATATGTAAAATGAATTTCAAAATAAAGAGTTGTGGAATTTGGATCAGTTTGTGCAAGAATGAGTTTATTATTCATAGGACTACAGTTCTCCATAGATTAATCATATTTCACATCAGTTATTTTCAGAGTTCCCATTGCATATATAGATGTTAACAAATTAAAACGCTAGGAACTAAAATTCACCTTTCATTGGCCATTTTTTCTGTTAATTTTGGGAAAAAGAGTAAGAGTGTGTATAGTAACTACTAGGTCTTACAAATACAAGAAATATAACTTTTTTTAAGTGATCTTGAAATATGTGAGATCTGTTTTGCTTTTGTTTCTAATGTTTTATTTTCACTGCTATGTCAGTAGAATACATTTTTAATCAATGAAAGATTAAGACAAACAATTGAGTGCTGCTAAAATTTCTGATGCCTCTTACATGTAAAAAGAATAAATAAAGATTTATTTATTTATTTCTTAACAACAGCTATTTACTTATTTTTCAAATATTCAAGTGATGTATAGCCCCTGGTATGTTACTGTATGGAAGTTTATTGTATTAAGAGAACCATAATTTAGCATCATATGTTAAAAGCATTCATTAATCTTCCTTTGTCACATAATTAAGCATAGGTGTAGTTTTCAACCTCACTTTTTCATGGAATACCCTCATACATATCCCAGTTACAGCAACTGCCCACACTTTTGAAACCATAGTTATACCAATGTAACTAAATAGAAACTTGTTATTTAAAACAGTTCAATCAACCATCTTTTAATTGTTACATTGCCAGTTCTGATGAGTCTTATTTGAAGAATATGACATCCACAAAAATATTCAAAAGAAAAACTGTCGTTTCCTTGTGTCAATCATTTGCTTTGACTTAGTTGAAAACATCTCAACAAAAATTTATCTAGAATACTTAAGAAATGTTAAGACTAAGTTTGAAATCCATAAGCTACTGCAAATTTCAAATATACATAATTGGGGAGAAACCAGTCTGTAGTTATTTCTAAGAATGATGTTTGTTCAATGAGGAAAAACACCATGATGGAAGATGGAACACAAGTTTTGCATAGCTGGAAGACACTTAGGACCAATAATTTTATGCTTATTTTTCCATGGTTAATTTTAAGTACATGTGATACTGAAACCCCAAAATGTGTGAAGCTGTTGATTGTGTCTTGAAGAATTAAATACTTCAACTCCTAAACAGAAAGTAATCCTAGAAAAGTGTTGGCCCAGTTTTGTGCTTATGTTAAGAATTTTCTTGCATGAGAAAATGCAGTCAAATGTTAATTTTATGTTATAGTGTGATTGTATAGAATTTTCCATTTTATGAATTATCGTTACTTCTACCAGTTATCAGGAAAAGTTTATCGATAGCACTAAACAGAAATTATGCTTTATTTATGATATTTTAAATACATAAAAAGTGAATATGTAACAAAAATATCTACTTTTAATGACAGATGTAGAGCTATAATTTGATATGTTATCATATGTTAGTAATATCAACCTAGCACTCTCCACAAAATCTAGAGGTTTAAGGTTCCGATATGTAGAAGGACTAGGATAGCCATCAGTGTCGTAGATGGATTGAAAGAGACAAGGCATGATGCTCAAATCAAGATAAAATCCTTTATTTAGAGAAGAACTGATAATGAAAAGCTAATAGTAACATTGAATTATTGCTTTGTAAAGATGGATAACTAACTATATTCTACTGTAAGTGAATAGATGAACCAGTTTTTTTTAAAGTAAAACTGGTAAATAAGAGGAAAACAAAGTTGACATGATTAGCAGACTGGAGAATGTAAAAAATATAAAATGTGGAGGAGATTTCTAAATACATTCCTTGGCTAAACAAACTACAGAAAGTGACACCTTAAGTTGAAGTTAGTACAATACCTCAACCTAAATTAGGATGTGAAATATATACTATGGGAGAGTAAGATGTGTAGTATATTGATATCACAGTAGTATGTCGAACTTCTGACATCCAGCCACCCAACATCGAATTGAAAATGACAGATAAATATTTTCTTGCCACATGTTAATGGTTGGTAAAACTTTTTGCACACTGTAAAGTGGTAGATTAGACATTTATAGCATAAGTAAAATGGTTGGTAAAACTTCATATACTAAATACTTTTTAAAACATTTTGGTATTTCCAACCTGTACGATACCTTAGGATTACAGGCCGAGTATAATCTAGTGATTAGTGAATCGACTGTAGATCATAGGGTTAGAGACGCAATACCTCTGAAACTCTGTCAGAGCTTGATGCATTATAAGATTGACAATGGATATTATTAACTTCAAAGAACTGGATAAAGACCTTACGATGACGGCTATCCTAGCTAACTAATTGCCTTTCCTCTGGTCAGTAGCTCAAAATTAGGGCAGCTAAATGTGATTCTTTGGGGTCTCTTATTTTGATCGTTTAATCCATGTGTGTAGGGCCATGGCGTATTGAACGCATTGTCGAATACACGAGTGCGTGCTGTGGAAACATGTTATGGGCCTTAACGTATTGACTGACTGCCTTTCTGCCGTGACGTAGTGAATCAATGCGTAGTTGAGAACTTCGAGAACACAATATAGCCCTGTTAAATACTGGGCCATAAAGCGTTCTTAAGACATTGTGATCAAACTATGTTATCATTGGCTTGCTCAGCATTTTTTTAACCTGTACATCATGGCTTCAATGATTTTGTGGTAATGGTACCATAAAGTTGATTTTTTTTTGTTTGGCTAAACATATGGGCTAAACAGATACGTTAGAAGCCCCTGAGGCTCACGCAAAGCAATCCCTAATTTTGAATGGAGGGCAACCAATCACATTGTTGCGTCAGCGAGGTCAGGTGACTAGTATCACGCCACTTCTTTCTCGAACCTTCGTGAATTGTCGGGAGATTACTAGATTTGGGGTAGTCTGATAAATAAAAGATGGTCACAACGTGACGGGACAATGTG